TGATTCAAACTAGGATTTGTTAAATGCTCGCTGCAGCCTGTGGCCTGCCTGAACAACAACAAACACATGTTGATCATGTTCACATAATAATAAATAAAACAACTGTACAAGCAGAAGAAAACTCCCCAGTCACCACTAACTATCCTGTTTATTTATTGCAGATGGCTGCACTGATTATTTTTTACCTGATTTGTTCTGTAAAAGTTGGCATTTTTGGTGGTCTACAGTTTTTTATGTCAGTTTAAATTACAATTTCAGAGGCAATTCTAAAATATTATGGATCATGAGATCTATTGGAGATCTACCCCAACATTTGGACTGCTCTGCCAGTCACTGTGGCTCAAGCTGAGAGGAGCTTTTCAAAACTTGATCAAGTCATACCTGAGGTCACCTATGTTTCAGGGGCGGCTCACTAACCTGGCTCTGATTAGTATCAATCACTCAGTAGGGGAGCAGATTTCATGTGATGACATTATTGATGACATTACATCAAGGTTAGGTTTTAATTTTAGTTTGTGTTTTCTGTTCTAAGTGCAATGCTGTAGTGATTATCTTTAGTTTGTTATGTGTGAAATTTTTTGCTATTTAGAATATTTATTATCTATTATGTTCATATATTCTTAATATTTAGTTATTGTTTGTTTTTGTATATTTGATTCTATATATTTTGATACAGTATATAATGTATAGTGCTTTACATTCTGACAACTTCATAGTAATTAATGTAAATATGTGCAACTTAGAAAAATGAATGTTCAATAGTCGTTCTAATAAAACATGCCTGTTTGTAGAAAACATGCGTGCGTTCATGCAGGTGGGGTGGTGTGGTGGTGGTGGTGGGGGGGGGGGGGCGGTTGGGGGGGGGGGGGGGCGCTCAAAGGGGGCCTCGCCCGGGGAGTAATTCGATGGAGAACCGCCACTGCCACTCGCTGTAAATTGATGCAAATGAGTACTGCACATATATAGCACTTTTCTAAGTTAGGGAAGTCCAGAGCACTTTACACTACAATCAGACAGCTACACATTCACATTCTGGTGGCGATGAGCTACACCGTAGCCACAGCTGCCCTGGGACACACAAACAGGGTTCCTCCGTTCACCACCACCAGCTGGCAAGGATGCAATAAAAAAGACAAACTCGTAACGTCTGAGCCACTGTCACCCCCGAATTGTGTTCTCTTGCAGGAATTCCCAAATGACCTTTTAAAAGGCCGTTCATGCTGGCAAAGCGTCCAATGTGGATGAACTGTAACAACTTCTATAAAGAAGAGGGGGCCAGAATTCCTCTACAGTGATGTGAGAGTAATTATTGTTACCACAAACACTTTATTATAGTTGCTGCCTGGAGTGTTGCAACCAGTTATTAAGTTTAAGGGTTAATTCCTTTTTACTAATAAAGCCATGTAGGCTTGGGTAGCTTTTCCCCATAATTAACTGAAAACAGCATTTTTTTTTCATTTTCTCGTGTTATTCTTGTTTTCTACCAACATTTGTTTGCTGATCAGAAATGAGACAAAAAAAAAAGCAAAAACAGAAGAAATCAGTATTTTTCTACAGAATGGTGTCAGAACAGCTTTAAATATCATTTTCACCAGTTGTTACCTGTGTTTGTATGTTTTTTTATGCCAACTGTTGCTGATTTTGCACAAGTGTGAGCACACCACAACACGTGGTAAGACCCTGATGGATCTTTGGTATCGTTGACAGTTTTATGCGCTGCACCCATAACCACAATTTCCCAGCCATAGTAGCTGAGCAGGGCAAAGCTGTGCGAGATGCACTCTGAGGCTGGCGTAAAGCCGCCAGACTACGTAATAATTTATCAGCCAAAAAGCCCTCCGTGTACTCACTGTGCAATATTTATACTCGACTGAATTTATTTCCTCAGCTACATCCCCACACAGTCTCGGGTCAGGGATTTTCTTCTCTCAGAGTAAGGGTTTGTGTTTAAATCTGGGAAATAACATGAAGACTTTGTTTCTGTTCACATTATGGCAGGTTAAAATTTGCTATTTGAGACTAATAAACCGTTTTAAAGACCAACTTTTGGGATTTACCACAAGCATCATCTGAAGTTTCAGAAGGGTTCATTTTTGTCGTTCCTTTTTTTGGAGAAAAAAAATTGGTGTGATTGCATGTATTTCTATATTATTTCCTTTTATATCATATAGCTCCTAAATAATTTATACAGCAACACATTAATCCAGAAAATGTTTTCTGGGGTACAAAAGTCAATAGAAAACATCACAAAGTTACATAAAAGGGGCCATATCATGAAAAATCCACTTGTTGGAGCTATCCGTAATCGGAAGGTTGCAGGTTCAAGCCCCGCCCAGTCTGTTGCTGTTGTTGTGTCCTTGGGCAAGACACTTAACACCCAATGGTGGTGGTCGGAGGGACTGGGGGCGCCTGTGCTTGGCAGCCTCTCCTCTTTCAGTGTGCCCCAGGACAGCTGTGGCTACATCATACGTAGCTCATACCCAGCAGGGTGTGAATGACTGATTGTGATGTAAAGCACCTTGGGGGGTTCCAGGACTCTAGAAGGCGCTATATTAAATACAGGCCATTCACCGTTCTTACCATGTGGTATTGTTATAACAACCCCCAAACACGTTTTTGGATGCATTCATGATAGAGGTTCGGGTTTAAACATTTTTGAAGCTGAATCAGTGTTTGAACTCTGAATTATTTATTTATTTTTTACTTTCTTTGTTTATTTAGTCCTTTAAGCCCTAGGCCTATTTCCTTTGGGCCCTGTGGCGCCTCCCAATTGGGGGCCTTTGGAGTTTCATGTCCCAAGTGTCAGTGATTGTTTGCATTCCTAGAGCACAGCTACAGCTACAATCAAAACAGTTTGTAAGCAAAGCAATTTTTGGTTTTTGATACATTAAGATAAAATAATACTTGAACTTTATTTTAGAAGAGCTGCCATGTGTCAAAGTGCTGACAAGATGGAGGTTGTGAGTTCAAATTCCATTGAGGAAATTTAGTCAACTGTTTTATTTATTCCAGGGGTCCTCAACTACATTTGTTTAAGTATTTTTTTTCCCCCAGCAGACACCAGAGAAGGCCAGATGCTATTCTAAAATAAAGTTCAAATATCATTGTATCTTAATTTAATACAATTTAAAATGGCCTTGTTTCCGCCTGGGCTGTTTGGTTGTGGTTTTAGTTGTGTTTGAGGAATGTGGATAGTTGTAGATGTTTGGGACATGATACTGTAGAGGCCCCCAATTGGGGGGCATTAGGGTTAAACAGGTTAGCCAGTGTGAGTCCATGTGAGGTGAGCAGAGAAAATCAACCAAACTGCTGCTTGGAAATGACCAAATTCAAAGATCATTAGAGACACAAACTATTCTTTCATACCATGTGACATTTGCTCTCAAAATTTTAAAATAGTGCAATGTGACTCCTTTAACAATGTTTTTGGTAATTAATGGAGAAACTCAATATAATCAATAATGATGTTTTGGTGATGGCAGATTCTCGCAAATAGTTAAAGACAAAATTGAGATAATACAAGTTTTTACATGAGTGAAAACACATGCCTGGCCATGTGGGTCCTGTGAATTAGTTGAATAAAAATTCTGATACTTGCAGGAAAATGTGCAGTTATTTTTGGTGTAACTGCTCACAATGTATCTTAATTTTGTCTCTGTTTGTTTACAAAGTTGTCACTAACCCCTCCTAAAATTGTCTCAAGTTTCACTTTAAGACTCAGAAACTAGATCAAAAAGGATTCCAGACACACGTGAAAGCACCAAAAATATTCTGATAAAAAATGTGTTTTTGTAGTTATTTTATTAACAAAAGTGAGTTCCTAAGGCTGACAGACTCTTGGCTACTTGCTCATGAATGATGTTTGCCCATTGAGATTTAGGGTTTCAGTAATTCACTACTGATTCTTCCATAATGCAATAGCCTTTTTGGTGCAAACACTAATTTCTAATATTATCTACTTGCTATAATTATTACTAAAACACATTTATTCATATCGTTACACAACCCAAAAAAATCTATGCACATTGATATCTTTATCTTGCTAGGTTTCTTTCGAAAGGTTGGAAAATGTAATCAACATTGTTCTGCAATCTTTAGGCATTGTAATGGAAGGCATAATATTGACCCAGACTTGCTGTTGACGTTCTAATGTTCAGAGCATTCTGACTTATAGTACAATGGTATGGTATAGCAACCGCACCTTGGCAGATAGGGAGAGTCTTCAGAAATGGTAATAGCTGCACAGAAGATCATCTGCTGCCCTTTTCCCTCCCTTCCCTGATGGACATTTACACCTCATGCTCCCTCAACAGAGCAAGAATATCATCAATAACATCTCCCACTGGTCATGGCCTGTTCAACATGCTGCCTTCAGGGAGGCGCTACAGGTGGATCAGTACAAAAGAGAAGACTCAAGACCCGCTTCTTTCCCAGATCCATCAACACCATAACTCACATTTGTACTTGCAGTTTGACCCAAAAAGCAATAACTCCCAATGTGATTTTTACTTTTCTGTACAAACCCGAGACTATGTTTTTTTATTTGCACATTTTATTTCACAAAAACATTATTTTCCAACCTAAATCAAAACCAACAAGATAATTACAGCAAATAGAACTGTTAGTTTTAATATTGTTGTAATTGTTGTGTAGTTTAGCTGGTATTATGGAGCAATTTGGTTTTGTTGTATGATAGTATGATATATAATGAAAGGCTGAGATTAATAGTATTTAATAATGTTGTTTACTGGAAGCCAAATTAGTTAATTATATTGAATTGATAGGAAGGGGTGGGTTAAGTTTTTACTTCATCCCACTCCTTTTTGGATTCGGAAATTCATTATTTAATTCATAGTCATTATTTTTCTCCACCTAAGTATTTTGATTATTATATGTTTTGTTCTTTTACTTTCTTTTTGCATTTTTAAAATAAAAATTTCAGTTCACATATTTGCAGCTAAACCTCTACAGTCTTTTGAATCTGAAGATGTTGGACTTACCAAGAACAGAGGCTACACAGTTGGGTTCATGCAGTTGCCACCATGCTGCTGACTTCTGCAGTTTCACCTCGCTGACACCAGTGAAATTATTGCCCCCTTTGACCCCAACCTATAAGACAAAAAAATAAATAATAAATTACAAGTTAGGCCCAAATACTTACAGTGTTTCACAGTGTATCCCCAAAAACAGAGTTTTGAATGTCTGTTGGGCATCGTGTTTTTAATTTTAATTAAATGTATGTAAATGATTATGTTTAGTAAACGATATGGACATATATTAACACTTCTTTTAGTTTTATGATTGTATGATTGTAACATCAACCTGCCTAGGTGGAAATTAGCATATTTGCTACAACCTGGTACAATCCTTCCTTTATGGCTAAATTTAAATTGTACACTGTCTCTGTTTAAATTAACTTCTACTCAACTTATTTTATATAACATTATTTTATTTTCAACTCCTTATTTTCTGTTTCATCCCATTCAGGTGCTAACCTACCCCTTAACTTTTGTTTCCATGTACGCTTCCTGTTTGCATACAGCGGCTGTGGCTGTGTGACTGAAACTGGAGCACATTGTAGCTGTTTTGGCGTGCCTCCCTATCGCCAGCGGGCCCAAAGAAAACGGTGTACCGTTCCCTGCCTGACATGTTTTTCCCGTGACCTCGTGGAAGTAAAAAAAAAATCCCTTGAAGGCGTATAATAAATCATCCCTGCCCGGGCCGCCCCACATGTGCGTGCACGCCTCCCATAGACACAACGCTGGCCCTGAAATAATACATCAAGTTTGAGAAGTGTGGAAACACAATTATATCAGGTGCTCTAACCTTTTTGAGGGAGCAGGATGGACCAGTCAGGTCAAAGCACACCGATGTTGAAGGAGCTATAAATGATCTGTGATGACATTTATGCTCTAACTGTTGCAAAGAATCCAAATTAAACACTAATTCCTGCTCATCTTAATTATTTTACCAACAATATGCAATTTCTTAATTGAAAGCAGGTTTAAGGATTGCTATGGATCTCTTTTTGGCTCCCAGACTCTGCAGCTTTAAACCAGGTGACCTCATACTGTGAAATCTGCCTTTTATAGCACAACTCCATCAGACAGGAGTAGGGCACTGATGTATGCATATTCTTAGTAGAAAAAAATGCACTGAAACTTCATTTAAAAGTCATCTTCAACTCTTTGTTTTAGGCACAAAAACTGCAGAGTCAATATAAATGTATTGCTTCAGTGGTTTATTTGGGGGTGAAATAACATTTAAGTGGTCACCCCACATTTTTATGACAACTCTGCTGCTGTCATATCTAATATTTTTGTCACAAAGTCAATCTAACTCACTTTAAAGTTTGATTTTCATTCTTGCCTTGCCACAAGAGTTACACCGTCCCTGTCACCTTTACTTTAAATCACGTTGCCACCTGTGCCGACAATCAATTTTCACAAATGTTCATCCTGTGACATGAGTAGCACACAAGTAAAGGGGCATCAGTTGGTGCTCATCTGTTTGAAATGCTCACAAAAAGTATTATTATTATTATTAATAATAATAATATTCATAGATAGATCGATAGATAGATAGATAGATAGATAGATAGATAGATAGATAGATAGATAGATAGATAGAAAGATAGATACAGGTTCTTCTAAAAATATTAGTATATTGTGATAAAGTTCATTATTGTCTGTAATGTACTGGTAAACATTAGACTTTCATTTATATTATATTCATTACACACAACTGAAGTAGTTTAAGCCTTTTATTGTTTCTAATATTGATGATTTTGGCATACAGCTCATGAAAACCCAAAACTCCTATCTCAAAAAATTAGCATATCATGAAAAGGTTCTCTAAACAAGCTATTAACCTAATCATCTGAATCAACTAATTAACTCTAAACACCTGCAAAAGATTCCTTAGGCTTTTAAAAACTCCCAGCCTGGTTCATTACTCAAAACCGCAATCATGGGTAAGACTGCCGACCTGACTGCTGTCCAGAAGGCCATCATTGACACCCTCAAGCAAGAGGGTAAGACACAGAAAGAAATTTCTGAACGAATAGGCTGTTCCCAGAGTGCTGTATCAAGGCACCTCAGTGGGAAGTCTGTGGGAAGGAAAAAGTGTGGCAGAAAACGCTGACCGAACCCTGAAGAAGATTGTGGAGAAGGACCGATTCCAGACCTTGGGGGACCTGCGGCAGCAGTGGACTGAACATCGGGTTGAAACATCCAGAGCCACCGCGTACAGGCATGTGCAGGAAATGGGCTACAGGTGCCGCATTCCCCAGGTCAAGCCACTTTTGAACCAGAAACATGCCAAAATGCCTGAAGTCCAGTGTCAAGTACCCAGAGTCAGTGATGGTCTGGGGCGCCATGTCAGCTGCTGGTGTTGGTCCACTGTGTTTTATCAAGGGCAGGGTCAATGCAGCTAGCTATCAGGAGATTTTGGAGCACTTCATGCTTCCATCTGCTGAAAAGCTTTATGGAGATGAAAATTTCATTTTTCAGCATGACCTGACACCTGCTCACAGTGCCAAAACCACTGGTAAATGGTTTACTGACCATGGTATTACTGTGCTCAGTTGGCCTGCCAACTCTCCTGACCTGAACCCCATAGAGAATCTGTGGGATATTGTGAAGAGAAAGTTGAGAGACGCAAGACCCAACATTCTGAATGAGCTTAAGGCCGCTATCGAAGCATCCTGGGCCTCCATAACACCTCAGCAGTGCCACAGGCTAATTGCCTCCATGCCACGCCACATTGAAGCAGTCATTTCTGCAAAAGGATTCCCGACCAAGTATTGAGTGCATAACTGAACATAATTATTTGAAAGTTGACTTTTTTTGCATTAAAAACACTTTTCTTTTATTGGTCGGATGAAATATGCTAATTTTTTAGATAGGAATTTAGGGTTTTCATGAGCTGTATGCCAAAATCATCAATATTAGAAACAATAAAAGGCTTGAACTACTTCAGAGTTGAAATGAATCTAATATGTATGAAAGTCTAATGTTTATCAGTACATTACAGAATATAATGAACTTTTTTACAATATACTAATTTTTTGAGAAGGACCTGTACATTCACACTGACTTTGTTCTGTGGAAGAAAACCGAAGTACCTGGAGAAAACCCACAGATGCATGAGGAGAACATGCTAAAATGCAAAAGTCCACAGCCATGTGTGGGGTTTCTCTGGGTACTCCGGTTTCAACCCACAAACCACAACATGCTCGTCAGGTTGATTGGAGACTCTACATTGTCCATGGGTGTGTGTGTGTGTGTGTGATAAATGATAAATGACCCGCACTTGTATAGTGCCACTCAGAGTAAGGACTCCAAAGTGCTTTACACTACAGTGTATCATTCATCCATTCACACCCACATTCACACACTGGTGGTGATGAGCTACGATGTAGCCACAGCTGCCCTGGGGCACACTGACAGAGGCGAGGCTGCCAAGCACAGGCGCCACTGGTCCCTCCAACCACCACCAGCAGGCAAGGTGTGTGTGTGTGTGTGTGTGTGTGTGTACACTGTGAGTATGGGGAAGGAATTAAAGCCAGAGCCAATAAAGAGAACATGTCCAGCTAAGATTCCATCTCAGAAAAAACAGTGTTTTGTAAGTTCACAAGGAAATCCTCAGGACATGAATGAGAATGTTCCGGTCTACGCTGGCCTCCAATTACAGCTGTAGTCCTCAAGGCGAGTGGGGGGACCGAGACACTGCTCATTGATCTGAGAAACACCACTGTGATGGAGGGTAACCTCACCCCAGCTACAGAGGACACAGAGCACACTTTTAATGATTCCAGCTGAAACACTGAAATACCAGTGATAATGAGACGTCCTGGTTTATAATGGCGTAGTGGGGTTTTGTAGGCCTGTGAACTTGTGAGTGGAGCTTCAAGTTAGTGGAAGACTCATTGACTGGTATTGGGCCAATTCCTGCTTAACTGTGGTGTTCAAGCTTTTTGTCACTTCAGCCAAATTCACCAGTTTGAAAATAATAATTTCAGAGTTACGTTTTCTTTTTACATGCTCATAAACAAAGTAAAAACGCAGTCACTCAGTCACAAATATAGTGAGAAAAAAATGTTTATTTTTGTCACGATTAAAAAAAAGCATCATATTCCTCAAACTTGACTTTAGTTTTCTTGGAGACCAACTTATAGCCCATTATCAGCAACAGGAATGGGATATCGGATCCACTTTCTTTGTAAATGTGAGCTGTATCCTAACATGTTATATAAATGGTGCCCAAAGGTCTGCTGTTTAAAAAAGCCACTTAGTTTGTGGATGGCTAGAAGGGTGGGTGGGTGGATAGATAGATAGATAGATAGATAGAAAGAAAGAAAGAAAGAAAGAAAGAAAGAAAGAAAGAAAGAAAGAAAGAAAGAAAGAAAGAAAGAAAGAAAGAAAAGGCTTTATTTGAGCATTTGCAAAAAAAAAAATCAATGAAAGCGGACTCTAAAGTATTGCAGAAAAAAAACTGAAATTTTTTTTTATTAAACTTGAAATAATTTGTCCTAGCCACCCCCGTTCTCCTATGGAGCTTTAATGGAGGTGATCGGATGGACGCATTCCCCTCTGGTTCTACGGCACTCTCACTGGGCTCCCCAGAAGCCTGTGTGTAATTCAAGCTCTGCATTTTAACATTTCTTCTGATGATCTTTCTTTACGTGGTGATGGAAAACTACACTAAAAGATCTCAAATGAAGTCAACAAAAAACAAAACCACTGGCATCAGGGCAATTAAAGACATCTCAGCAAATGGCAAATCAAACAGTATAATTAAATCCAGCAGTACTATTTTAACGTGAAAAACAAGTGAAAAGATTTAGTGATGTTCCATCTGGGTCACCGACTGAGTCGGCTTCTTGCTGATTTTTCTTGCAGCCCTGGTGTGTTTGCATGTATGCACAACGTGCTGACAGCACCTGTCAGTCCTCCGGCGAAATGCTGTTAGAGGTGTGAGTGGGTGAATCATTTCCACAGAGCTGTGAGAGTAGACAGCGGCAGTAGTGATTTCTGTACTCCAGATGGCACCATTAGCATGCCTAAGCTGGGTCATAATCCTGCACCCATATCTTGAAATCCAAATTAATAGCCAAACAGAAAAGGACAAGATAATGTGACACCGAGTTGCACCTTTTTTTGTTCAGATTTGTCAGATTTGCGCAGCCAAATTCAAAGATGAAATCAAAAGCGCTTTTTATGTTCAAGGATTGAATCGAATCCAATTCTAAAAGGCATAAAATGAAGAAAACAAATTGACTGTGACTCATAATTAGATCACATGGAGACCCAGTCCATGCTAACAGCATTTAGTAGCTTGGCCCTTTATTTGATTTCTGAGGCTTCGCATATTTACCCTTCAACTTTAATTACAATAATTGACATATGAACCCCAAATAACACTAGAATTCCGTCAATGGATGAAATAAAAAGAGCTTTCTCCAATTGGATTCTTACCAGTTTGAACCAATCGACGGCAACCCGCTGCTTCAGACAAGAGTGAAGAAAGAACAGAACTCCTGAGAATTCCCCTGCAAGGAAAAAGAAAAAATTGAGGAGGTCAGGATTGATCACCACATTAGCGTCAGTTGAACGTCACACAAAAAAAAAAAAAAAACAGATTCATGAACTGAAACACACTCAACGCACTGGATGTGCAAAGGCACTTCACATACTCTGAGCAGGTTATTTTTTCATTGTGCATAATGAGAGCTACTAAAAATAGACTCCTCCATACACCTTCTCCACCTTCTACAAAAGACAGGACGGGCACTTGTCTATGTCTGCTTGCATGGACTCACTCCTGATGCCCAGAAATGCTTTCTACAGAATTTAAACACTTTTCTAAGACGAATGAACATAAATATCCTTTATATACAAACACTTGTTTGTTTGAGTTTGAGGAGAGAACTAAATGCTAAGCTCAAATGTCTCAGTGGTATCGGTGATCGACACATCCTGTGCCTTTGCTTTGTTCAGCATGAAAATTACACTCCTGATTGGATGTCGGACACCTTTCCCGACCAACCTCTGCCCTTGTGCAGGATTCTGTAAGCTCTACGGTTCTTTTTCCCCATCCTTATTTAGCATGTGAATGTTTTTACATCTCATTTTCCTTCCTTTTGCAACGCACATGATGTGCAAAACCCATATGTTTACTAGGATCAAAGGTTTACTCTCCCCGCATGCCTCCATCTAAAAATGGCCTCCTGTCATTATGCAAGCCAACAAAGAGCCGCACCCCTATTCCAAGCATACTGATTAATTAGCTTGTGTAATTAGCTTAATGATTTAGAGAAACATGGCCATGGCCACCCAAGAAGCTATGCTAATGGACCTCTGTCTACCACAATTAGAATGCCCATATCTTAACAAATGGTGGTTTGGAAGTCCTGATAACAGATATCGAGGAGAAAGGGGGGAAACAAGGTAGGTGCTAATCAATGTAGCATTATCTTAGCTGGTGCATCATTAATTAACTGTGTTGCAGTTCTCACATGTTGAAAGCGATGCTAGTGTTTTGTTTATACAGTATTCTGCAAAAGTAGAGAGACCACTGGAAGCAAATGAAGTGTTCTCGTTTTCCTGCTATGACAATTAATTATGGTGCCAGCAGTTGGCTTCAATTAGCTCTGGAATGTGTCATGCAAGACAGTGAAAATGCAAAAAAAATAAAAAATTAAAAAATTAAAAATAAAACAACCTTTCAGTGCAACAAGGGGCAAATTTATGACCTTATCTTTATCCGTCGCATGATGCCGCTCTATACATTCTCCTCCTTTCAGCTGGAGGATGTTAACTCCTACTCTCTGTGAGCACACACTGTAAAGAGTGTGAGTAAGGACACGGAGTTGTGGACTTTACAGTTTCCATTAAATACGAGTCAGAGCAGACAGTATCTCTGCTCCTTGACAGGAGCATCAGCATTCCTGGACGCACTTCAGACATAAATCGCACATTTAATAAAGTATCTTTGAATTTGAATTTATGACCTTCCGCTGAACAGTAACCAATGGAGACGCCGGCTCAACTCATTAAACTGGCAGAAATGTTCAGATGCAGGTGGAGATATTACATATATACACAACCTCTAAAGCAGGAGTCAAGTAGGAAAATATATATGATCCTTATATTCTTTTTTTTAAAGTGTTTCCTTGGGAATGTCTTGCCTACTTTGATGCTGACAAATCTGAAAAATTCCAATGCATCACACAAACAAGACAGGAAATGGACTGGAGCAAAGTTACTGCGATTATTGCATGACCACCGGGAGCCAACTCCAGGCCTCACACTGAATACTAAGTACGAGGCAAGGGGAGCACTTCAGCATGCCCTTTTTGATGTGATAAATTAGTATTTAACTTAAAAGGCAGTCAGGTTTTCACTGCCTGATAACACATATCATATTTCTCCCCACTTGGCAGCTGCGGCTTTTTTGCTCCCTACCGCCAGTTTAACTCAGTCTCTCTTTGCTCAGCAACTTTTCCTAGAACTTCCATGTCTGCAATGTGGCCTCGGAGCAGGGGGCTGGTTCGGGTCTTTTCACAAAAACTTGAATGAGTTGGGCAAGCTCAGAGAAAGCAACGACGGCAAGCCGAAGGTAAAAGACGTCAGGGTAGACCGTAGAGCTTATAGGAAGTCTGTAAAGATCATTAATTTTCAACGTTTTATAAAAGAGAATAAGTGAAACTGACAGTTTTAATCTGACCACACCACTGCGCTTTTAAAATCAATACCATATGCCTCATTTCTGAGGACCTCTTTAATGAAACAATGTAAGGCAAATGATTCATTAAAATCTGCAGTATTCCCAAACATGGCAATTGCCGCCCAGATTCGATAACATTCTGTTTGTGTCTGCATGTTGCCAGCAGGTGCGGCACATTTGATGTGCGAGCCGAACATCACAGCACCAACGTTGACACCATTGTGTCAAAAACTCTGTGTTCAGTTCGTCAGCTCCGGTGCGCTGTGCCCAAAAACAAGCCAACTAAAAATGAGCATTTGGAAAACGATCTGCCTCTCACTTCCTCTTCCCCTGCTTGTTCGCACTCAGTCCCTGTAGCAACAGGGCTGCGTCGACATCAGGCGAAGAGATGCTTACATGTAATACCACGTATCTACGTGGAATTGCAGTGCAACTAGGTTTAATTTTCATAGGTTTTCAAACATTTACATAGTTAGGCAGGATAAACTTGAGAAGATGTGTGAAAAAAGCAACCCCAGAGCTCTACAATACATCAATGTCCTGCCATCATAATGTCAATGCGCATTATGTTGCTATCGCAGAAAATCATTGCAATTGTATGAGTAGAGAGTCCCCTGTCTTTCAAATTTAGAGTTCTACATTTCAGGGCATAATAAATGTGATCTGGTCTTTATTGGGTTCTATGATGATTCAGATGTAACTTCTATGCACACAGACACAACAGATCACGCCATGTCATTATTTATATAACAAACTCTGCTCCATGATCCGACAGCCTATAGAATGCCTTTCAGCAGCAACAATAATCAGTAATACTTGTCAGACTTTATCAGTTTCTCATGTTGTGGAACAGTTTTCTGGCACTCTATGATGTTGCTTCAATTCATTGATGTTTGCAGACATTTGTTTGTGCTCATCCCTCTTGAGATCCTACCAAAGCATTTCAGTCAGGTCAAGGTCTGGACCTTGAATCTTTTATTTTTCAGCTGCTCAACTGTAGATTTTCTGCTGTGTTTGGGATCACTGTTCGGATTTATGATCCAGTTTGGTTTGAACAGGGACTCACATTTGATTCTAGATTCCTTTGGTGGTTAGAGTTGACTCAGTGACTACAAGGTGTCCAAATCATCAGCCCTCCACCACCGTGCTGACAGATAGTAAAAGCTGCTGCTATGACCTATACTATCCTATATCAAACTATACCATATTAAACTATACTATATCATACTACTATGCTATACTATATCATACTGTACAACACTATACTGTACTATACTCTATCATACTATACCATAATATACTATACTCCGGAACTGCGCTGCTCTGGGCGGCTGCATTTTGGAGTAGCTCTGTTGACTATATGTAAGTTTTGCCTTTTCTTGGGCATTTTTTCTTCTAGTTTCTCAAGAAAAACTGTATTTTTTGGACACTTTACTTTTCAGTTTCTGGTGCTGTGAAGCTTGGAGGATTTTTACTGCTATTTTTTTTAGCTTTTTTCACTTTTTGAGCATTTGTTTTGATGTGTAACCATGGCAACAAGCTGGTTTACAATCGGGAGCAGCTGATTAACATTGGAAAGGCTGAAATAATACCTCAACTGAAGCCACAAATCCCAAATGAGCTAAAACGCAAGAAGCGTGGATGCAGAGCAGGAGCAAAATGGAGACTGAGAAAGAGGAAATTCACACCATCTCTTCCATCGATCATAATGGGCAATGTGAGATCACTGGCCAACAAGATGGAGGAACTCCAAGCCCTTTCAAGGACTCAGCCAGAGTTTAGGCAGTTTCGGAACCGCTGGAGGAGATAATGTAAAGAAGTATTCTCCAGAGAATCAAGAAAATGATGGACAACCCTGAGCATTCTCTTCACAAGACTGTCCAACAACGGAAGAGTGTATTCAGTCAGAGGCTTCTTCAGTTTCGCTGCAACACTGACCGCTACTGGAGATCCTTCCTGCCAACAGCCATTGTAATATACAACAACTCTTTGATGACTTGACTATTCTGAGCTACTACAGCAATCAATTTCCCTCTGGGATTAATAAAGTATTTTTGAATTGAATTTGAATTGAATTGAATATCATACTACTGTACTATACCACATCATACTATACTTCATCATACTGTACTATACTATACTTTATCATACTACTATACTATACCACATCATACTACACTTCATCATACTGTACTATACTATACTATATCATACTACATCATACTATAACATATTATTTTATACTACATCATACTGCACTATACTATACTATATCATACTACACCATACCATATTGCACTACTATACTATTCTATATCATACAATACCGTATCATACTATACTTTACTACATTATACTATACCATACTATACTATACTATACTAATTTATACTATACTATAATACACCACACTGTAGTACAGAATACTATGATGCTATACTATTTTAAGTTTTGAAGAAGGTTCATCACTACTTGATATTGTTATTGCAATATTCAATTTTACCAAGATACCCAGTTATTTTTTACCTTAACCCATTTTTTGGGTCAAAAACTGAGAAGTTTCTGTTTAGGTTTGCAAAAAAAAAAAGCTGTCTGCTGGCATCCCTTTGCTGCCTAATGCAATTGCCTCCAATAAACACTTTTTATGCTCTGTCAAGTTTTATATTTTGCAAATCGATGCACACTAGTGGGAACTGTTATTAGTTAAGCCTTTACACTTCTAACTGCAAAGGCTGTATGGTTTACTTGGCTTTTGCCATTGTGACGATGATCTCTGCCCTGTGCTTTCCATCGTCTTCTGTTAAATCGCCTCAGTTATCAGCA